TGATATATGTTTTTATTGTTAATCCTGTCTAAGCTTTTGGCTTACATAAGCCATCATCAGAGATTACAAGTACATTACAATAAATTAAATAATAAATTAAATAACAAAACTTGTCTATATTATTTAATGAAACTTGTATTAATATATATATATACATATATATGTACTATATGCACAGAGAGAGGAAGAGAGAGAGATTGTGTGTGCAAAATTCCTTATAGGAAGTTAAAATCCTTGCTTTCTTTCCTTGTTTATCAATTGACTTACGTTTTTGGCCATTTTGGTTCCAATTCTAACCATGTTTTTTGCTCCATCATCCAGCCAAGGCCAGGGAAGAAGTCTGTTCTGTACAATAACTCTGAAAATAGAAATCAGATAAAATAAAAAATAAAGAAATATCTTCAGCCTGCAACGACTTATTTTTAATTAAAGGGAAGTAAGCATTGAAGTTCTACCGTCATCACAATGGTGGCAACACTTCATGAACAGAGGACATCTTCACAATCCTTTAAACAGGAGCGGTCAGTCAAAGCAAAGAGAAATTCTCGTGACAGGAGTGGCTCTGCTTAATTCAAAGTCATCAAAAGAGATTCTCATTTGACAGACAGTAATTTTTTTTTCTCTTTACAAAAGATGAGTTTAGGAAAGATAAACTAACAATAAAAAAAAGTCCATTAAAATGATTTTCAAACATTTAAATAAGAATAAAGAAATTAATATTTTTCTTCTAACATGATTTTTTTATTTTTTATTTATATTTTTAGTCATCATTACAACTAAATGTGCTAAATATCTTACCAAGCATCCGACAGCCTGATACAACCAGGTTTGCTAGATTTTGCCTGTCTCAGTCCCCTCTGAGCTGCAAAAGAGGTGCTTATGGCCAAGTGTATGGGTTTTCCTGTTGCACAGAGTTGTCCACCAAAATCAAATTTACGCAAATGTCCTCATCAAACTCTTTGATTCACAGCCATTTCCAGCATCTCCACCAGGGAGAGAAAAGGAATAGAGAGAAAAGGATGATGATTGCAATGCTCAGATCCAAGCAGGTGCTGACAAGCTAAATACTTTGGACTAATACACTGATTTATTCAAAATAGATTCCTTGTTTTTGTAGAATATTGGTTAACTTGCAAGTGGTCTGACACACAGATAGACTGGTGTAGTCATTTCAAGTTAGAGAACAGCACTGAGTGATTTAATGGGTGAATAGAGTCCACTCATGCAAATGTGTTGGGCAATTCTAATAAAGTGGACTAACCCACCTAGTGTATTAGGTACTCTCCTATAAATGAGGTAGATTAGCTGGCTTGCTTTTACAAGGATACACAAGGAGGCAGCCATGTTTGACTTCTACAGTTTTTTATATTCCAAGATGCTGTGGTTATTTCTGAAATGAGGAATTATCCTTATCATACACTGATTTCTTCAATATGTGCAAATACCCTTAAGAAACGTATGGTGTAATGGAAAATGGCTCGGAATTGTTAATCAGAGAGCTGAGTTCCAATTCCATTTGGGTTCGTTATATTCACAAATACCCTTGGGAAAAGTATGAATTCATCTCTCCTTCCCCCAACTATAGGTTAATTATTAAGACTTGTATCATTAAATCATTATTATTCAAAGTAAATGAAAAATTCTTAAAATATAAATCAATCAAATGTAGATGAAGGCATCAGTTTGAAGACAACATTGATTCATTCTCTATGGCTTATCAACCATTTGCAGGTTATTTAAAGCCAGAAAATAGTTTTAGATTATAAGAATTTTTTTTTATGATAATAATGATTTAGTGATACAAGTCTTACTAATTAACCCATATCTGAAGGGGACAAGAAATAGATTCATATCTTTCCCAAGGGTATTTGCACATAAGTTAACATAATAAACCTAACTGGAATTGGAACTTAGCTCTCCAATTAACAATTTCAAGCCATTATACCACCTGCACATCTTAAGCTTATAGCACTTGGTATTCCCAAGCAGTCACCCATCTAGGTACTGACCAGGCTTGACATTGCTTAACTTTGGTGATCGTACAGGAACCATTGTTTCAATGTGATGTAGCTGTAAGCCCAAACCCTGACAAAAAAAAAAATAATGTTCTAGGAACAGTGAGAACATGTAAAAAAAAAAAGGGATACTGAATTTTGTTCTGGAAATTCAATTTCCAGAACAAAATTCAGTACCTTAGTGGCTTTTCACAAACTGCCACAATGCTCATTAGTAAAACTGGGAAAATTGGTAACGTACCAGCATCATCTGAGACCATTCCTGCTTTGCCATTATCATTCCAGGCAGATACACACCACAAGACGGGATCAGCCTTCAGGATGGGGTAAGTGGCAGCAAAGTATTCAAAAAAATCAGGAGAAATATCAAGATCATCTGCAAAAAAAAAAAAAAATCTTTATTTACTGGGTAGGCTTGACATTGTATTGACATCACAAACTAATCATGCGGATAGATTTACAAATTACCAGGACATAAGTAACAAAACTTTGGGTTATGATACTGACAACATTTCGCTCTTAATAATAACTGAAATACCTAAAATTTTGATCTGCAATCGCAACAACTGATTTGAAAATTGGAAAAATACAATAAAATATTAAACAGATAGACCTTGTTGACTGAATTTCATATATATATATATATATATATATATATATATATATTAAATAATTCACCCCAAGCAAGGCAGAAGTGCCACTAGCATGCAAGGGGTTACAGAGGATTGAGAACAAGAGTAAAGAGGCGTGTTTGAGGAAAGGATACATAGAAAGACAGGGAACAAGATCAACGTGTCAGAAGATGTCAAATATATATATTTGTTCAATTCATCTCAATCAAGGTGATAATGCCACTAAGATGCAAAGAACTACTGGGGGTGAAAGAGAATGAGAAGTCTGTAGAAGGAACTGGAAATCCAATCCTACACAGGAAATAATGGATAAACTTCTACTCCTGGTCAAAAGAACAGGGGAGAGTTTTGAACAGAAGTAGAGATTTATCCCTTGATTTTATATATATATATATATATATATATAATCAAATGAATATATATAAATAAATATACGTTTAAGTGTTCACATAGAAATATATATATATATATATATATATATATATATATATATATATTTTGGTGTAAGAAAAACAGTGCTCAGTTCTAAATAATAGAGCTATTAAGTATATATCAGTAAAAATGCATAATACCCTATGGCAACAGTATAACTTGGTATTTCATGCCTGGTGCAATCATCAGGTACTGAATATTGTTTACAGTTTCGTTAAGATTTTTGGCTTTCGTGAGATTCATAACACTGTTGTTAAATATTTAATTGCACTATAATCTAATTTTGAATTTAGGCTCAAACTTGCACCTAAAGTTGAAAATAAAAATTAGAAATTCTAATGTTCATTTAAAAATATGACATTTACGGACACTGTTGGAGATATATGTTTGAAAATCAAGGCAAGAAACTAATAATATATATATTTCCCCAGTATTGTTTGGTTTAGTTTGTTTTGTTTTATGGCATATCAACCTCCATGGGTCATTTAATGCCAACAACTTTTTTTTTCCCCCTCCTGTATTGTTCTTGATATATGAAAATATATATTGTTATCTCATTTATATATTGTTGTAGAGTAGTTTTCACAGTGGAGGCTTGTATTTCAATAAGTCATCCTAAATTAGGTTTGACGTACAAAACGTTAGGAACTTGAAATAAGAGTTAATGACGCAGCAATCTAGTTGTGATGGTTGATACTTCAATATCCGACATCGACTGACTCACTCAACACCACTGAGCTCAACTGGCGACCGCTACTACTACTTATTATGTGTGGGGGAGTCTATTAATAATAGAATAGGTACGTTCAGGTATGTCATATATATATATATATATATATATATATATATATATACACGCACACAACCACACAGAGTCCACTTAAAAATGTATACACACTTCAGGAAAGGAAAAACTTATATAGATATAATACTAAATTTATTCAGACATCATGACATTAATACAAGTTACCTTTGTTGGGTAACGCCATCTGTCAAGAAAATATTGTACTTGATTAAATGGTGTTATTGGAATTTTATAAAACTAGGAAAGATTAGTTTATAGTTTTTCCGTTTCTGAAGTGTGTATGAATTTTTGGGTGAATTTTGCATATATATATATATATATAGTTCTTGTTTATATTTTATTTTTATATCTACAAATATGTAAGTAAATGCTCTGTTTTATAATAAACAGTATTAACAAAATTTACCAGCCTGAATGTCTGAGAAATTTCAAACAAAATATGTATCCTTTGATAGGAAACAAACCTTTATCCTACACGGAACCGTTACTACAAATTTCCCATGATTAGTTTCAAAGCAGTAATTCGACCTTGCTAACCAGATGCTTCCTCTGTAAGTAAATGGTATAGCATATTAGGCTATATGATGGTTCTGTGTAGGACACAGGTTCAATTCCTTGAACATTCAGGCTGGTAAATGTTGTTAATACTGTTTATTATAAACAGAGCATTTACTTAAATATTTGTATATATAAAAATAATGTATAAACAAGAAATATATTAAAATAATTGTCAGGCTTAGTCCATTTCATAATACATATATATAGTAAAATTAATTGCAATGTATTTCTATAGTAAAACAATTTTCAATAAATTTTTATGTTTACATTTCATCTTATTCTATAAGCAATGGAGAGTCCGAATGACCATTTGATGTCTCTGTTGATTCGCTGATATCACAGATTAAATAAAACTGTATAATTAAATTATTACACTTTTTTTTTGCCAAAGATAAAAAGAAAAGAAATCTATGAAATACCTTCAACAATTATCACAGCTGAAAAATTGAGCTTGCGGAATACTTGATTGAGTGCCCACCGATAATGCCGAGCGACTTTATAATAACCTTGGAATTTGGTCTGTGGCCATGGTAAACTGATATCACTCAGGTCGGGGTGCTGAAAATATAATAAACATAGTAAGATGACATTAAGTGCATAGTAACATCTGTATGGGTCATGCAGCTGATACTATTTTGTATATGTATGGATAAACAATTTCCAAAAAGAGCAGTTAGCTCTGGCAAGAATTTAAACGAGGAACTTTTTCTTTTTTCTCCAATACGTAAATGACTTTAGAAATCCAGACATAGATGTTTTCATGAATAAATGATAAAGAAAAAAAAAAAGGTCATAAATTACAATGTTTGAAATTTATATACACAGACAAAAAGAAAAAAAATAGTTACCAGTCCAGCACTCTTTTCTTTAGAAAAAAAGAGTGCTGAACTGCTATAAAATATTTAACCCTCTATACGGCTGCATACATTGTAGCAGGCTGTTGACATATGCATGGCTTGATTAACCATTAATCAAAATAAGCATGTGACTCAAGAGAAGAGGTCATCATAGAAATTGTAATGATATGACGTTCTTGGACATGCCTAAAGAAATAAGTCAAACACAATTAACATATGAATCTGCCAGGTTACATTACGAACGTGGAAATGATTAACCCGTGGCAAATCTTTATGGCGATTCTGATTGGTTAATAAGGGAATAGGCTAAGAGAGATAATGTGGTTTGTAGTTACTCAATACATTACATTTCCCCCTCCTGAATAAATTAATATTACTAAAGTTATGAGATTTAATTTTTGTGAACAATCACAGGAATAGACTACCCTAATCTTCATTAGGTATTATTCTGGCCATATGCTTATATGATTTTGTGACCATCTTAAAGAGATTGCAAACAAGGAGGAGGCTTATACTTAATATCAGGAAGAGGCAGTTGAAGTTTTTGGGATGCATAATGAGGAAGGAAGGCCTGGAGAATCTGATACTCACAGGTCAAATAGAGGGAAAGAGAGACAAGGGAAAGCAGATCATGAGATATTTGAATAAATTAGTATTACTAAAGTTATGGGATTTAATTTTTGTGAACAATCACAGGAATAGACTACTCTAATCTTCGTTAGGTATTATTCTGGCCATATGTTTATATGATTTTGTAATGTGCTGGTTTGTTGACTACATGATTACTTTTGGTCACAGTCCTGTTAGAATCCAGTCATGGCCCATTTGACAGTGGCTGCTTGGCTGTGATTGGTTCTTTCTGGCTGGGTTCCAAGGGAATTGGTAGTGTTTTGGGTTCTCAACTGATGTCCTTATTTTTTTAAACCAGTTACTAAGACTCTATACTAGTATCCTTCAATTGGAGATGTATGGAACACCAAAATCTTTTATGTTCTTAGTGCCCCTATAGGTTTTAATTTGGCTCTGGACATATGAGACCAACTTGGCACATCATGGAGAAACAAAGAGAACAAAGAGATGCTGTATAAGAGTTTTTATTGTTTTTTTTCACTAATGTTCACCCAATATAAGGCCCAAGAGGTACTCAAGATAGAAGGTTACTGAGTGGAGTTATATTAGTGTTGGAAAGGACAAGCATTAAAAGTATACAGTTGAAGTAGATTTTTAGAAGGAACCAGAAACCTAATTCTAAACAGGAAACAAGAGACAAATCTCTACTGTTCAGGCATCCTGAGATCAAGCATGATCTCAGAAGAGGCACTCACTCTGATTTGCCAACTCTTGGAAATGTGGTCTGTGTGTGTGTGTAGGCACATGTGGTTGTCATAAACCATCTAAAAGGTCATCATAACAACCAGACACAAGCCAACTATGGCAAGCTATCTCATTGTCCTACCAAGTATAACTATGTTAATTGTAGCTCATTATCTGGACTGAGATGACCCATGTTGGTACACAACAGAATTATAAAGCATGCAAATCCAAACAAGGACACAGATTTTATCTATCATATATGAATGATTACTTATGAAATTAAATGCTGGTTTCAAGAGTCATCTTAGGGACCATGGACACCAAAATGAGACAGAAGTGATTACAAGTGATGCCAATGGTGAAGGGGTGGCTGTCATTTGAATAAGATGTGGCACTCACCATAGCAAAGGAAAGTGAGAAGAAAGGACTAAGTATAAACTACAAGAAGACAGAATGCATGGTTATCAGGAAAAGGATGAGCCCACAATGCAAATTACAAATCGGGGAGATTAAAATCAATAGGTACAGAAATTTAGATACCTGGGAAGTGTTCTAACAGAAGATGAAAAGTGCAACACTGAGATCAGAAGATGTACTGAGATGGCCAAAGATGTATTCCAAAAGCTAAGCAGAGTATTAAGAGACAGAAAAATTTCATTAGAAACAAAAAGAAAAAAGTACTGAACTGTTACATGATATCTGTCCTCCTGTATAGCAGTAAATTCTGGACAATCTCCTCAAAGTTGAAGAAGAGACTTGAAGCAATAGAAATATAGTTCTACAGAAAGATGCTGAAGATACCATGGGCCAAACATGTGAGCAATGATGAGGTTTTGAAGAGAATGGAAATCAAGAATTTTGTAATGCCTGTTTGTAGAAGAGACTTTGTAAATCACAGATACAATAATAGTAATGTCTTCAAACAATACTTGATCAGAGGCCACTAATTCCCATATATATACTTTTCCTTTACCTGTCACATGATTTAATTATTTCAAGATGAGGTTGACTGTGCTTGCTCTCTGGTGATCTGTGTTCAAACCCAAATGTCGGCAGTGACACTTTATTCCTATATGACACCTCCACTTTGAGATGACTTCCTCTGGAGTCAATATTTCTTCAGCTTCAGTTCAATATTTAGAAATTTGGTTGCTATTCTTTTTCTCTTACCATAAAACCTTGGTTCAACAATTCCTGATGGCATGGGTATGTAAAATATGTCATACAAAATTTTCATAGGTACCTCTTTTCAGAGACTTTTTAAATCAGTGAGTCTGATTAAGGTGTCGCTTATGTTTCCACCTTTGTCACTGTACCAAGTATGTCATTTTGCTGATCCATTTTTTCATAACGCCATCTTCCCAGAATTTTTTTCCATGATGAGACATTTTAAAAAACTATCTCCAGGTTTGAAGTATTTACTTATATTGTTATTTCTTGATGTTCTCGCCTTATGTTCTGTTAATAATTTATTAAAAATGGACTTAATCTTCCTGGCGAACATCAACTCTTCAGGCGACATTCCAGACACAGTGTTTGCGTTTGGTGTTATTCTGCAAACACTCAGAAATTGTTGTAGCATAACTTCATCTGACTTCTCTCCCTTTGACTTTTTTTAATGCCATTTTGTAGGAGAGACTTTGTAAATCACAGATACAATAATAGTAATGCCTTCGAACAATACTCAGTCAGTCGTTCAACTCTGAACCGACTGTTCGGTTTAACTCTCTTCCCTACGGGCGGGAGGAACCCGAAGGAGGCTATACCGAAGGCGGCGTCTCCTTCGGGGAGGTAAAACCGACCCTGAACCCGTTATACGGGTTCAAATGGAGCTATTTTTTTGCCGAGCCTAATGGCTCGGGAATGCCCACGATTAAAAGGCCTTGTGCCACATGACACCCTCGTGGGGGGGGGTTACTGAATATTCTCAGTCAGATGCTGCTAATTCCCATATATATATACTTTTCTTTTACTTGTCATATAATCTAATTATTTCAAGATGAGGTCAAATGTGCTTGCTCTCTGGTGATCCGTGTTCAAACCCAAATGTTGGCAGCGACACTTTATTCCTATATGACAAAAGGAAACATACTTAACATCAGGAAGAGACAGTTGAGGTTTCCGGAGCATGTAATGAGGAAGGAGGGCTTGGAAAATCTGATACCCATGGGACAGATTGATGGAACGAAGGATAGAGGAAAGCAGCGCATAACATACGTGGGGGGCTTGAGCAAATGGATGACAGAACAGGGTTTGGGAGAAATAACTAAAAGACAAAACTTATTAAGAACTACAAGGGACAGGAAGATGTGGGGGCTGTGATCGCTTATGTCCTGAAGGGACACAGCACATAAAAGAAGAAGATGGTAGCATCAGTTGGTATGAAGTTTTGTATAAGTGATCTAGAGAAAGATAGAGATTTATAAAATACTGAGGTGCAAGGACACAACAGGATTGTCTTTATTATATTCGTAAAGACGTCGCCAGAGTAATACTCACCCACAATTTTGTGTAATGTAATGTATCAGACATCAACATAATTGGGTGAATAAGTTTATTTACCTGTCTTTTCTAGAGGCTGGTAGGGCTTTTGTTTAGTCTTTTCTTAATTTAGTTTTCCTGTTGAGAACAGTCTAATTTTGTATTGTGATCAGTCTTATACAAATGCAAACAAGAAAGGGAATGTTAAAGAGTTCTCAGCTCAATAATCAAGAAGTTCTTGAATAGAAATTTTAAAGGTCATTTGATCAACATCAGAACTTTACAAAACTTAACCATTTTTTTTTCATCATTTTACCAGAATCAAGGCAGAAATGCCACTAAAACACATTGGGTTGCAGGGAGTGAAAGTGAAAGAGAATAAGAAGACTGAGAATATGGACGATTGAGGAAAGGACAAAAAAGAAACAAGATTCATAAAGTTGGAAGATGGCAGTTGACATTGCATTTAAATTTTTTAAGACTATATTTATCAGAGAAACAAAGAAATGGAAGGGATTCCACAGGTAAGAAGTGCAAGAAAAAACTGTTGGAGAAAAAGTGACATTTGCATCTAGCTAGTAAAACGATGTGTCCTAGTTGCCAATCTAGTAGCATACTTAAATTCATGTTGTCGAGGCACCAGGATAAAAAAAAAACTCATCAGAACAGTTGCCATGAAAATATTTGTAGAAAAGACAGAGGGAAGCCAAATCATGTCAGTGAGAAAGTAACTGAAGTCGAGATGTCTTATAAGAACTGATTACATTACAGATCCTTCTATGGATTTTGTCAAGAATTTTGAGATATACAGTGAGAACACCAGACCAGATATGGCAACAGTATTCAATGCATGTCCTATATATCCATACATATACTTTATAAGACTGATCCAGATTTATATTTATA